TTCCCGTGGGGTTGAGCACTTCTCATGCATATGTGTGTATGCGTATGTACTTGCCTGTTGTCTGTCTTATTTTATTACATGGTTTTCAGAGTCATGGTGTTTTTTGCCTATTTTTCTATTGGATTGTTTGTCTTTTTGAACGATTTCTTTCTAAATTTTTTTTTAAAAGATTTTATTTATTTATTTTTAGACAGAGGAGGAGGGAGGGACAGAAGCATCAATGTGTGGTCGCCTCTCACGTGCCCCCTACTGGGGACCTGGCCTATGACCCAAAGCTGCGCCCTGACTGGGAATCCAACTGGCGACCCCTTGGATCGCAGGCCAGTGCTCAGTCCACTGAGCTGCACCAGCCAGGGCTTAAATGATTTCTAAGAGCTCTTTTAGTATTCTGTATATGAATCCTATTTCAGTTACATATTCTGTATCTTTTCCTAGTCTGTCGATAGTTTTCTTTGTTGTTTTTAACTTTTTGTGGTATCTTTTGAGAAAAAAATGTTATTAATTTTAATGTAGTCTATTAATATAGCTTACTAATATTTTTCTTTATGGGTATTATTTTATGTGTCTTTTTAAAAATAGTTCTTATTCTACAGTGGGGTTTTTTTGTTTTTTTTTTGACTGTTTTACATTTAGATTAGTATGTGGAATTGAATCTTCTGTGTGTGTGAGCAAGGAGTCCAATTTTCACTTTTCTCTAGTGATACCCAGTTGTTCCAGCCTTATTTTTGAAAAGACTGCCTTTCACTCAACTATCTGCTCTTACATCTCTATCATTAATCACAGATCAGCGTAGGCTTGAGTCTGTCTCTTCTGTTTTGTTCTGCGGCTTTGTTCACCTGCTCCTGCCCCAGCACCGCGCTGTCTTGCCGTGGTTGCTTGCTGTCTTGCAAAAACAGATCGTCTCACTGCATTACTGTGCACAGCTCACAGCTGTGCGTGGCCCTTTGTACCCTCACACAGGTTTTAGCATCATCTTGTCAGATTGCACAGCCGCACAAGCGGCACGCATTCTGCGGTGCGTGGAATTGCACACACAGCGCACACCGTGTCGTGGCCCATCCTAGAATGGCGTGTGACCTCCAGTCCCCTGATCTGTAGCTGTGGCCTAGCTCTTCACTTATTTAGTTGTACTTTACTACCAGCCTTGCGTTAGAATTTTTTTTAGTGGCGTACATTTGTAGTTGTGTTCTTGGTACTTTTATAAATGGTGTCTTTTCTTGATTTTTGCTCATTGTCTCCGTGTAGAAATATTACACATTTTTAATTATTGACTTTGTCCCCAGCAACATTTATAAGCTCTTTTATTAATTCAAGCAATTTTAGTACATTTAAAATATATTTTCTACATAGGTTAGAAATGACACTTCATCTGTTAGGGATGAAATGGCAGTTTAGTTTCTTCTTTTCCATTCCTTTGGCTTTTTATGTTGCCGTCTTGCTGACTGAGACGCCGCGTGCAGGATTGGCTGGGGGTGGCCGCAGCAGGTGCCGCCCACCCTTCTCAGAGGGGACATGCTGGCTCTCTGCAGCTGGCTGCTAATTGTAATGTGCGCTGTGGGTTTTGTTGTTGATGCCTATTTTTAGGTCAAAGACGCCCCCTTCTATTATTTGATGGCTAGGAGTCTTTTGTTTTAAATTATGAATTGGTGTTAAATTTTATCAAATATGTTTTCTGCAGTGTATGTGGTGATCATGTGGCTTTGTTCTTTACAGGTTAATGTGGTTGATTATACATTTTGATTTCTAATGTTAAAGCAGCTTTCAGTGCAAGTGTGAATTCAGCTTTTCACGTTACGTATTGTGGGTTCATTTTGTTAGCACACTGTTTAGCACCATGAGTGTTATTTTCCTTTCTGCTACTGTCCTTATTCCGATCTGGGTCTCATGATTATGCAGGCCTCCTCAAATGGGTTTGGGAGTCTGCTTTCCCTTTTTGTGTTCTGTGGAAGAGTTGTGTAAATTGGAGTTACTTTTTCCTTGAATGTGAGCTGGCCACATTCTAGGTCTGTGGTCTACTTTTTGGGGAAATTTTTGATAGCTGATTCAATTTCCTTAATGGTTAGAGGATTCTTCAGGCTTTTCCGGAATATTTTACAGAATTTTTTATAGAGTTAATTTTTATTTGTTCTGTTCTAGGGTTTTGGCTATATTATTTATATTTTCAAGCAGTTTGGCATAATGTTATTTGTAATATCTTATGATTTTTTTTGATGCCTTCAAAGTCTATGGCGGTATCCTTTTGTTCATTCCTGAACAGTTTTCTTTGTTATTTGTGCCCTTTCTCTCTTTTGAACAATCTTTCCAAAGGTTGATCAGTGTTGAGCTTCTTGAACAATCAATTTTGAGTTTGTTAATATTCTCTATTTTGTGATTGTTTTTCATTTTAATAATTTCTTGCTCTTCATCTTTATTTTCTTTCTTCACTGTGGTGGGTTATTTTACCATTCTTTTCATAATTACTTGAAAAGAATGCTTAACTCACTTATTTTCATCATTCTTCTTTCCCAGCGTATGCATTTTAAAGCTATAAATTTCCCTCTCTGTTCCAGTTTAGCTGCGTCCCAAAAGTTTTGGTTTGTAGTGTTTTTGTTAACATTTGGTTTTCAGTGTTTTACTTGCACTATGATTTCTTTTCTGCCCCCAGCAGTTATTTAGAACTCTCTCTTAGTTTTAAACATTGGGATGTTTTAATTACGTGGGGAGGGGTTGTTTCTGTAGTATAATTCCAACGAGGTAAGTGAACTGCACATGTCAGGTTAACATTTGTGGCGAGTTGTCTGCTCCTCTTTCACGTGGTGAAACGCTGTTGGACGGCATCGCCCAGTGTCCCTGAGGGGACTGCGAATGCTGCAGTTGGTTAAATTCCCTTTTTATTAATCAGATTCCCTTAGAACTTCCAAGTGGGGCCTCTGCTGGGCATGAGGGCACACTCACCCCGCGCGGGACGGCTGCGGCCGCAGCCCCGGTGCTCTGGCCCTTCCTCGCCGTGTGGCTTTGGCCGAGGTGTGGGCAGCCCCTGTGGGTCTTGGTTGCTCGTGCTCGGCGATGAGGGTTTGCGCAGTGAGCGCTGAGCGCTTCTGTTGAGGCTCGGACCACAGGACCAAACGTGTGTTTTAATTTAAAACCTGAAAATCTGGCTTTTTAAGCCGTCGTTTGTCAAGTTCATGATATGTGCTGGTTAAGGATGGTGGCCAGGTGAGCGTTTTGTGTGTCGTCTATGGCACACTTGCCACTTGCAGCGAGTTCACGTTTCATCCCCTCACTATCTCCACAAAGCAGACACTGTTGTCCTCATTACATGAGGAGGAGGTTGGATCTTACAAGGTTAAGTAACTCACGCACGTTCACACTGAGTTGGGAATTGAACTTATGTCTCTTTTTTCTTTTGGGTTTCTAAAGCAGTTTTCTTTTGCTGTTATTCTTTTTTTTTTAGATACCTTGTTTTTCAAGATGTTTTAGGTTCACAGCAGAATCAAGAAGGTACAGAGATTTCTCATGTGTCCCCTGCCCCCACACCCGCTCAGCCTTTCCCACCGTCAGCATCTGGCCCCGAAGTAGTTCATCTGTTACAGTTGATGAGCCTGCACTGACACGTCATTGTCACCCAGAGTCCATAGTCTCCATCAGGGTCACTCTTGGTGCAGTACATTCTGTGGGTCGGACAGACGTGTGATGGCGCGTACCCACCGCTGCAGTGTGAGGAGGAAGAGTCTCACTGCCCTAAAACCTCTGCTCCGCGCGTTCACCCTCCCTCCCCAGCCCCGCGCAGCCTCTGATCTTTCCACTGTCTCCAAAGCTTTGCCTTTTCCAGAATGTGGCAGGTGGAATCACACAGTGTGCGGCCTCTCCAGGTTTGCATCTTTCACTTAGTCCTGTGCGTTGGCGTTTCCTCGGTGTCTTTTCGTGGCTTGCTAATAATTTCTTCAGCTCTGAGCACCGTCCCACTGTTTGGATGGACCACAGATTATCCGTCGCTTGCCGAAGGACCTCTCGGTTGCTTCCCAGTTTTGGCGATTGGGAATGAAGCTGCTGTAAGCCTGTGTGCGCAGGCTTTTGTGTGGACGTGAGGCATCAGCCCCCTTAGGCGAGCCCCGGGGAGACGACTGCTGGATCGTCTGCTGAGAGCGTGTTGAGCTTTGCCAGAAACCACCAGCCTGTCTTCCGCAGCGGCTGCGCCGAGCCTCGTGCCCGCGGCGGTGACTGAGAGCCCCTGTTGCCCCGCACCCTCACCAGCACTTGGTGTCGTCAGCGTCCTAGATTTCGCCCAGCATTTTGTGGTTTTGTTTGGCGAAGTATTCTAGACATGTCAACAAGGTTGTTAATAAATAACATTCAAGTCTTTTAAATACAGTTATTTTTTGCTTATTCTCTATGTTACTGAGAAAGGTATATTATAAATGCCCATTTTAAAGTGGATTTTTCTGTTTGCGCTATACTTTTGTCAGTTTTTTTTTCTGATTTATGTATTTGTGGCCATGTTATAAGTTCATTCCAATTTAAAATTGTTATACCTTCCTGGTGAATTAAGTCATTCTGAAATGACTTTTTACAGAAATCGCCAATAATGCTTTTTTGCTTTAAGCATTAGCCTTATGGTTAATTACGTCTGATTTTAAATGGTCTATGATGTTCTCTGTAGGCTGGTATTTGCCTAGTATGTCTTTTTTACCACACTTTAACTTTAAAAGCTCTATTCTAAGAGTAGCTTTTTAAAAACTGGAGCATGTATTCCAGTTTTTAATGTATTCAGTAGTTACCGGTGTATTTGTGTTTACATTTACAGTCTTTTAAAGAAGTCAGTCAACTTTGTAGTGCTTTGTTTTGGTAAGGCATCTTAATGCCACGTGCCAAGTTTCATTGTGGTGGGAGACCTTCGTAGTTACAAGAAGCTAACAGAAACTTTCTGTTTAACAACATTGGGAATATTTCTTGTTAAGATGTATTTATTCTTTGTGTTAACATTTTTAATCACGTATCTCTTTTGCCTTGTAAATCCCCAGCCTTCCGCTGCGGCCTGCAGTTTTTAGGCAACGTCGCCTCTCGGAACGAGGACTCCCAGGCTCTCGTCTGGGTGCATGCCTTCCCGGAGCTCTTTCTGTGAGTACATTGCTGAGAGTTTTTCTAACTTCCAAAAGACTGTGGCTGTATCATTCCATTTAATTAAGTTCAAAAACAGGAAAAGTGAACCTTTGCTAACAGAAACAAGGATTGGGGTTTTCCTGAGCAGGAGGTGGTGGGTTCAGGACCAGCTGCGGGGGGCACGTGGAGTCCTCTGGGTTCTGAGACTGCTCCGCAGCCTCACCTGGGAGCTGGTTATGAGGTGTGTACATACCTAAGCATTTATTGGTTTTTGATTTGTGCCCTTTGTTGTATGTGAGTTTCACTTTAAGAAAATAAAAGTTTGGGTTAAAATGAGAAATACCGTTCTTAGTGGACATGGTAATTTATAAGAGAAAAGCTGTAAGACGTCAAAGAGCGGGCAGTGAGTTGATCATTCAGGTCTTTATCGAGCACCTCCTGAGCGCTCGCACGGTGCCGCGTGCCTTGGTCGGCGTGGGGAGCTGTTGGTGTGGGTCCGCTCATCCAGCTCGGTCTCCTCTGCAGTTGTGTGTGGGCAGGGAAAAGGTGGGCAGGGGACGGGGGCGGGGTGGGGAGAGGGGAAGCCCTGTCAAGGAGCAGAGGCCTGGCTTCCAGTCCTGGCGGTGCTGCCACCTGAAGGGGTGACTGGTGGCGGCAACAGCGCAGGCAGCAGAACAGCTGTGGCTTGGATGCCCTGAGCTGGGCGTGTCTGTGTGGTTGCTGCATTCTGTGCGCAGCCTGCCAGGTGCGTGGTGGCAGGTAAGTGGACAGATGTGGGAACCATCGTGAGTGCCGGTAATTGGCAGAGCCAGGGTGTGAACCCGCGTGGCTCTGGGGCCAGAGCCCGCCCTCCTCCCGCTCCTGCCGCCCGAGTCCTTCGCTGCCCCCCTGGGTGCGCAGGTGTGTCTGGGGCGCCCGTGAGGCAGACTCCCATGTTGCTTCTGGCTCGCTGATTGCGTCTGCCACTCAAATTCCCTCTGGTAGTTAGAGCTGAAGGCATTTATATGTCTGCTGTCTTTATAATTACTTATAGTTGAGGGAAGGAGGAAGGGGAGAATTATGGAATTCAAGTTACAGAAATAAAAATTACTTATTTTTGAGAAACCCTTTCTGTAAAACATTTTGGGTGCCTAATACCCGCCCGGTTCCGAGCTAGCTGAGGGGCATACGGGTGACTGGGAGCTGTTCAGTGTTCCCAAAGAGCTGGTGCTGCGGGTGCGGGGAGGTCAGGGTTAGGTGCGCACATTGTAGTCTAAGGAGTGCCATGGAAACGTAGACTAGGGGCCCTCAAGCCAGGTGTAGGTGCTCCGAGAAGCCGCGACAGGCTGCCTGGTGCTCCACACCCGTTCCCTCAGCCTCGGGCCTTGCGAGGGAGGCTGGGGGCATCTCGCCATGCTCTGCTCTTTGTCAGAAAGCCCCCCGTAGGGGGTCAGGTGACGTCCCTCCTACACATCTCTGAGAAAGGTAGAACCAAATTTGAATTCTAGCTTTAGCTGGTGTTGGCTTTGTGTCTTGGGCAGCTACAGTCAACACATCCTTTATCTGAAGTATGAGGCCAATACCTTCTACAGAAGAAGAGTAGGAAGTTTAAATGAAAAAGGAAATTCTGCCCTAGGGCGTGACCCATCACATAATTGGCAACAGCGAGGCTAGGAGCTTCCTGAGCATCCTGGACGGTAGGCGGGTGAGCCCGGACTGACGGGCGCTGCGGCTCTTGACTCCAGGTTTTATTTTTTGCCCCAATACCACCTTCCCCTAAACACCCTGTCCTGCGTGACTATTGATGGATACTTCGTGTTGTAACTAAGTTTATACTTGCTATTTTTACTGTAAGTAATGTGCTTGTTTCAAAGTGTTGTAATTCTTTAAATCCTTAAAAATTCAGTATGTACTGAATTTGTTACTAGGAGCCTCATTATTGTGTGTGCTATAGTCATGTTTTATCATGTTGTTAAATTGGGCTGACACTTTCATTTCTTTATTTGGAAGGTCTTGCTTAAATCATCCAGACAAAAAAATTGTTGCCTACTCTTCAATGATCTTGTTCACATCTCTTAATTCTGAAAGAATGAAAGAACTGGAAGAAAACCTCAATATTGCAATTGACGTCGTAGAAGCTCACCAAAAGCAGCCTGAGTCAGAATGGCCGTGAGTATCTTGTTAGGCACTTGATTGCTGAAAAGCATTCTGGCAGATCGCTTTCCTTATAGAGGTTTTAAGTAAAAATTTGGATTATAGTAATTGGATAGTATGTTAAAACACCATACGCAGACAAAATAAGAAAAGTTTCTAAGCAGACCCTGGAGGCTCTGTGAGGGGGGTGACCGCGGGGGTCCCTGGAGGGCGAGGGGGGTTCGGGGGGAGGAGGCCGCGGGCGCCGGGCCCCGGCCAGAGTGCAGCGTGCAGGTGCGCAGATCGGGCTGCTGTGGCTGCGGGCGGGGCTCATCTGAGACTGGAGGTTGGCGTGTGTGTTGTGGGCATCGCGTGGAGGAGAAATCTGTCACAGTGGTGGTTGCTGAACACGCTTTATATAATTTCTTTTTGCGTAAGTAGATCAAGGCTTGTTTTGTGGCCTTGGCCCGGTCTGCCGGGAGGACGGCCCGTGTCCCTGGGAGCGCAGCGCCCTGTGCTGGGGGCGTTCCGCAGGTGTCCGTCAGGGCTGGCCGCTCGGCGCGGTGCCCGAGGCTCCCGTCTCCTGGGTGGTCTTCCCTCTAGTCAGCCGTCACTGAAAGTGGGTTGTTTCCTCTTTCTCCCTTCCATTCTGTCCGTTTTCGCTTCACGTATTTCAGTCTGTGTTGTTAGGCACATATATGTTTGCAGTTGCCATGTCTTCTGAGGAACTGACACTCTTCTCATTATAAATTCATCAAAAAATTCCTGTTTTTATTTGTTAGTGCTCTTCTCCTGTTTTCTTTAAAATCTTGTTTTGTGTCTGTGTTCAGAGAGCAGACCACCTCTGGGTGGGAGCCTCACGCTGCCAGGAACCCCACTTACGGTTCACGTGGGAGGCATGAACTTTCCTCGTTTTGGCCTCTTTTACTGTGAATTTTCTTGTTCTGTTGAAATTACACCTGATTTTAAAATACTTTTTATTCCTGAACATTTATTTTACTTGAATTACCATTTGTACACAGACAGAAGTAGGTACAAAAATAATTATGTAATTGTGCTTGACTTAGAAAACCTCCCTCAGCATCAAGTGTTTTTAACATGATGGATGAATCATTAGAGTCAGGTTACTAGGAGAAATTTTCTGTAGCTGAATTCTGTTTTCGTTTGTTACGTATCTTGGATCTGTATTTTAACCATCTGGAATAAAGGGCAAAAGGTCATAAAGGGCAAAACATAAGATCTGCTTCAGGATGACTGAAGTTCAAGTTATCAAAGGCCATCAGCTGGGGTCAGACAGGAACAAGGGACGGAACGTAGTGGTTAAGTGATGTCTCTGTGGTCCTCCCGCTGAAGGATGTGACTCCGGTGAGAGAACCTCTGCACTTGGTAAACAAATATGGGACCACAAAATATCCAGAGGCGCCTCACAAAATTGTTACTTTTCACTGTTAAATATGAACCCATCCCTGAACATTAAGAGAAAAAACTCAATTTTTGCCCTCCCACCTCCCAACATGTGAGAGCTGATGATGAATACAAAACGACACGGTGTTAGAATTCAGGGGTTTAGTATCTTTTCTTGGAAAGGGGCAAATGTAAGGTTTCAATAACTTTGGGTCTTTTTGTCTTGGCTCACACAGGAAAGCGTAGGCAGGACGGCTTTGGCACTGCTCGGTTTGAATTATTGGGATGATGTCCTAAAAGCGCTTGTTTCTCTTGTTTATGGGTGTGAGAGATGTGTTTATGTTCTTAGATAACCCTGGCTGGATCCAGGGGCTGGGCTCTGGCATTTGAGTCCTTCTGAGCCTGACAGCCAGCGCATGTGCGTTAGCGGGTTAGAGGAACACAGGAGGGGCACTGCGGCATCCCCGGGGGCGGGGGCGGGGGGCGGGGGGGCGTGCGGCCTCTGCCTTGTGCTGCCCCGTGCTGCTCCGTGATGGGAGGGTGCGGTGCGGGCGGCCTCATTTTCCTGGCTGCCAGCCTGGCAGAAGAGAGCCCTGAGACTCCGTCAAGGTTATGCAGCTCGACCAAGGTCACAGAACCAGTGCGGAGAAGAGGCAGAGTGGGCAGGCCGCACCTAAGGCTTCCACCTTTGTACTGTGTCTCGTATTCTAAGATTTACCAATTCTGGGAGGAGGCCTGAATTCAAAGGTGAGGTATGAGCTCTTTTAGTTTTGGCCTCTTCCAGCATACCCTTTTATCACAGTTTCACTACAAAAACAAATTTATAACTGTGAGTGGAGTATTACTTTTGGGTCATATTTGGGTTATCTAGTTGATTTATTTTGCATGACAAAGTTTCACTCCCAGATTGCTATCTCCTTTGCTCTAGGGATGTTTCTTGCCGTATGCATATAAATTTTACTATTTCCTTACCCATAAAGATATTGGGGAGATAAACATAATTGTCCTTCCTGTTGTAGTTTGAATCTGTTGCCCCTCTTGTGTTCGTTCTACTGTGCACTCAGATTTCATAGCACTTAACGCTTGTCTGTGAGACTGTGCGCTCCCGGTGGGAGATTTAGTGTTGTTTGTTATCGGATCCTCCACAGGATAATAGCTGGCATGTGAGAGGCGTGGTGTTCGTCATAATTCTCCTGAGTCCCAAGTGCCAGAAGTCCAGCTCAGAGAGCGAGTGCTCGACAGGGAACTCACAGGCTTACAGGGCTGAAAAGTCCCTGAGTTGCTGGATTATTAGGCCCAGGAGGCCCCGGGGCAGAAGGACGCGTCAGCACTGGCTCGGCTGCATCTTGTTGTCCTTCTGTGCTGTTTCACTCTCGGGCAACTTCCCGCCTGCACGGCCAGCGCCCGTTCTTTGTGGCTGCCTGAGGTGCCGTGGCCCACGGCCGTGCTTCAGACCCTTCTCTGTCATTGCTCATTGCTGGGCGGCCTTGCCTAGTTCTGCAACTTGAAATTCCTTTCTAAGTTGATGATTTCCAAGTGTGCTTGTCTGGCTTTGACCTCCACCAGAGCCTCAGACTTAGGTGTGCACCTACCTTCCTGTTGCACACTTGTAATTGACACACTTAGGGAGACTCGGGGTTGCTGCACCGCAAAGCCTGCTGCTGCTCTGCCAGTCCTTCCTGGCTCCGTGGCCGACACCGGTGTCCCTTCCCCCTGCGCGGAGGTCCGCACTCTGGCGGGCCCCGAACCTGAGCGTCTGCTTTCACCGGCCCGCGCTCATTAGCCCTGTCTGTGCACCGTGTCCCAGGACAGCTGCCACGGCAGCTCGAGTCCCGCCATCTCCCACAAGGACAGCCTGTTGCCTGGACTTCCTCGCTCCCCTTTCTGCCTCGTGGGCCCTCTGCATCGCCAGCAGCACCCAGGGCGACTCTTTAAAAAGGTGTTCTAGAGCTGGCCACTCTCTTGCTTAAAGACAATGAGGAGCAAAAGCAAGGTACCATATATTGCTGTGTATAATGCGCACTTTTTTGCCCAATCTTTGGAGGGAAAAATAAGGATGCGTATTATACATGGGTATAATGAGTACATACCACGGGCATAATAATCCCGCGCATAATGCGCACAAAAACGTAGGTGCGCCTTATACATGGCAAAATACAGTGCTTGGCCTGTCCTGGCTCCTGTCTGACCTTCAGTCTTATTATGACCACCTTTCCCAGTGCTCTTGACTTCCACCTGGCCCCCCACTGTTCTCTGAAGGCCCCTGCTTTGTTCTTTCCTGAATCTTGACACCTGCCCTTCCTCCTGCTTGGCATGGTCCCCTGTAGGTCTCTGCTCGGCTGTCTCCCCAAGGTCTCCATTCCTGTGTGTCTTCACAGAGACCTTCCTGGCCCCTGACGAGAACTGGTGTCACCCTGACCTGTGCCTGGGTGCTCTCCTGGGTGACTTCTTTAACAGCACTCATCGTGACTGAAAGTTACATACATTATTTATTTTCTCATTTTTTTGTTGCTGGAATGTAAGACTGGCCCCACAGTGCCCTGTAATTGGCCATGGGAACGTGTTGGCAAACCAGGGTCCAAGGCCCAACCCAGCCCATGGCCTGCGATTGTAGATGCATTTATATTGGCACACACCTTGCTCACGGGCTTCTGCATTGTCTGTGGCTACTTCCACGAAGCCACACAGCTGAGGGGCAGGGACTTTGGCCCACATGGCCTAAAATAGTTACTACGGGGCCTGCACGGATAGAGTACCTGCTGTGTCGCCCGTGTTGACTGAGTTGGGTGACTGGTGATATCCTTGGCCTTTAGCTCTGCAGGCTCATCTGGACCCCGGGGCCTTTGGAGAGAGACCCCCAGAGGGTCCACAGCAGTCTTCCCCTCGAACCTTGTGCAGGCCCCCCTGGGGGGCGCTGCGGCTCGGGTCCGGGCCTGTGCGGCGCCGCGAGCCTCGGAAGGCTCTGGTTGCCCGCGCCCGCCTGAGTCGCGCGCGCTGCGGGCTGTGAGGCGTGCTTCTCAAGTGCCTGCACGCTGCTCTGGCTCTCAATTGCATGTGGAATGCGACTTGTGATTTTTTTGTATGTACATCTTTCTGTGACATGTTGGCGTACTTTGGGATGTAAGGAAGTATTTTTTTCTTTGTTAACTTGGGCTGGCAAATGGATGGGGAAGTTTGGGAGTCAAAAGCAGAGAGGTATCCTACTGGAGAAGTGTTGCAGGCCAGGTCCTTGCCAGGTGGGCAGGTGGCCCTTGTTGGTTCATGTTCTCATCCCGGCCCAGCCACGTGCTCCAGGGCCACGGGGGCCACGTGGTGACCTCCGTGGGGGAGCTTTTGGAGCTGTGTGGCTGATGGCCCCAGCTGGCAGGTTTGGGGTCATGCTTGAAAGGAAAAAACTCCGTTATTCAAAGGAGGAAAAAGTGATATTGTAGGGAAAAAATGGCAGCCATCCACAGGAACTCAGTAAATGATGAGTGCATGAGTCGTTTTCATTGCCTGTCCAGCTTTCCAAGTTAAATACCGTTTAATTTCTCTTATTTGGCTGGGGTTGCATTATTCTGATGTTATCAGAGGCAGGAGAAGCAGGGCACGAGGGTGCTGAGACGCTGGGTCCGTGTCCGGTGCCGCCGCCAGCGGTGCCAGCCGAGGCTCAGGCCAGCTCGTTCTGTCACCGAAATCTGTGTTCCTCGCGCTGGAGCAGCTGCCTCCCTGCCCCCGGCAGCAGAGGCGGGTGGACGGCGTGCTCCTGGGCCTGCGGTCAGCATTCGGGGGATTCGACTAGTGTATTTTCAGAGATTTTTCTCTTCTGTTTCTAGTAGAGGCAGCATTGTCATTGAGTCGTCAGACTGTTGGTTACCTATCTTACTGCTCCGTTGAACCCACTAAAGATGCCACGTAACTGACAGGGGAGAGAGGTCATTTGCTGGAGCCACTCTGTGACCCTCGTCTGAGGAGCTGCGTTAAGCCGCTGAGGCTGGAGTTCCCAGATCTCAAAACAGCTGGGAGAGTGGTGCTCATTTGCAGGAGTGTGTTTAAACAAAAAGCTTTATTTATTTAAAGTGAGGTGTAGAAACATTTTCTAGGGTTTTGCAGTCAATGAAATTTATTTTATTTGTGTTACACATGCAGCTTTGACACTGTATCCTTGTGTATGGGGATGGAGATAATAAACGGCCTTCATTTTAGAAAATGTCCCTCCAGTGGAACCTGACTTCAGGGCTGCCTCTGCTCCCCAGTGACAGGGCCACCATCAGTGGCCTTTTTCCATGTTCTCCTTGACGGTCAGGTGGCCGTCACCACCTTGCACTCGACGCAGGAGCCCTGTGACGTGGGGCATGCTTCTTCTGTCTGTGGCTGTCCTCGCATGTCGAACCAATTATACCTGAGACAGAGAGGGGAAGGGGCCTCTGTGTGCTTTGGTTTATAGACAGTGTGGAATCTTGTAAAATCGCAGTCAGCGCTTTGGCATCAACAACTTGCTTTGTGAACTCTGGCTGTTCTGTAACCGCATTTCAATGAGCAATTTCCGTATTAAACTGAGCAGCTCTGCCGCCAGCTGCCCAGGGTGTGTCCGCTGTGGCACCGGAGGGAGAAACGACCCGCCCTCACCCTCTGCAGCGCCTGCTACCTGCACCCAAGGGGGAGAACTCAGTCTGTGCGCGAGCGCCCGTGGAACCAGTGCTGGGAAAGGGTCAGGTCTCCAGTTTTTCTTTTTGTAAAATGAAGAGGTGTGTCCGGTGCCCCTTCCACTCGTTCTTCTGCCTTGCGGATAGAATGTATTTTTGACCTTCCCCCGAGATGACGTGCTCTACTTTTCACGCTGCTGGAGTATTGTTAGAGTGTTGCCAACAGGCTCTACATGTCCTCTGGCACTTCAGGGTTAGGGTTGGGGGGACCCCGCCTCCCTCACACAGTATTACCGCACAACTTCTGAATTTACGGAAATAGTTCTGCGAAAGAAGTTAATCACAAATTTAAAGTGTGTAACTTAGAAAATATTGAACATGGTTCGGTCTCTTTGTTATGAAAGTTTTCATCTGTGGCTTCTCTTTAGTAGATATCGGGTAAGAAAGTAAATGCAGTGAATTCTGACTGAAAGTTGAGAATATACGTGTAACTTTATGCCGCTTCCTGGAATGGAGCGTGTATGTATTATATTTAGAAAAGTAAGCCAAGCAACTACCACACAAAAACTTCTACTTAATTGACAGCCACTTACAGGACCACTTTTGAGTGGCAAGAAGAGTACTCCATCAGCACTGCTTCACGGGCGTTGCGTTCTTTACAGCCAGTGCTGTACGCTAAGCGTTTGACTGCGAGGCGGTGGAGCAAAGAATGCCAAGTGTTTGTAGCGGTGTCCACACTGAACACCTCTTTTCTGACTGTATTTGTACACTGAGTGTGAGCAACAGTTGTTCTTATCTTCTACATACATAGTTGTAAAGTTAAGTCAAAATGCCACTGTCTTCATTCACTTGTAGATGCTTACTCTGTGTTGAGAAAAAGAAAGAATAAATTGTCCCTGATCATTTTGAACTGAGATAGGTAATCACCTTCACCTGAGTGATGTTTATAGAACATATTCTCAACATTTGCAAAGTCTGTTTTCTTTTTAACTGCATGTGTTGTGTTCACAAGATAGAGCATAGCCTGGGCTACTAAAATGTGTCTATCAGTATAGAAAGGATTAAAATCAGACAGAGAATGTTCTCTGATTACTACATGCTTACATTTGAAAACTGTAACAAGAAAAATTCCCAGTTTTTGGAAATGAACACATCTGAATGATCAGTTTGTCAAAGAAGAAGACACAAGGCCAGTTAAAAATATTTTGACTTGAAGGATAATGAAAGTACACAATTTTCTAGGATAAAGCTACAGCTGGACCTAGAGGGACATTTATAGCTTTACGTTTGTGTATCAGAAAGGTGGTCTGAAATCAGTGACTTAAGGTTCTACTTTGTGAAGCTAGAGAAGAGCACAGTAAATCCTAAATTGAAAGGAGAAAATAGTACAAGATAAGGGCAGCAGTCAATGAAATGGAAAACAGAAACACCATAGAAAAACTTAACAAAGGCCACACTGGTTCTTGAAGGAGAACAGGAACGACCAACGTCATGAGGGAAGGCTGGTTGTCGCACGAGTCTTTGGCGTCTTTGGCGCCGGGGCCTTGGTCGGGCAGCTCTCTTCAGCCAGGACAGCTCCGCAGAGGCCGGCAGCCCATGGGTGCTCCCCAGCGGTCGCGGCCAAGGACGTGGGCTTTCAGCTCCGAGTCCTTCAGACCCTGCTCGCGTCTTGCTGCCTATGGTTTCCCGAGCACACTGCTCTTCTTTCCGTCGTGCTATTTTTCCAAGTTTTTTGGTCACGTCTAATTTAATATTTTCCCCTCCCCCTTCAGCTAGGGACTCACAGGACACCGCCTCCAGCCTCTCTTGTCTTGCCTGTCTTTCCCCGGGCCCCTAGCCCTGCCCTCAGATTGCTGTATCATTTCTGTAGCCCATAATGTATGTCTGTATGTTGCACTTCAGACAGTTTTCTCTAAATATCTATGTGTGGGTCTTTCTCTTCTGTTAGAGTTTGGAAATGTGGTTTGTGCTGTAGCCTCTAGCACAGGACTTGGAACATGGTGTTTTTTGAATGAATATTCTCGTGGGAAAATATTTGAAGTTCCAAATACACGAATTATATAAATTAGCTTTGGGACCACAATTTTGTGTCTATGGCTTGAAGTGCATGAATTTCTGTCGTTGCAGTTTGATGAGCTACCTAAATTGATGTGAAAATTATTTGAGAATTCTTCATATGAACTCTTACTGTTAGAAATATTTTACATTGAAGTGTTGATCAGTTCTTTCAAAGGTTGTGGAGGAAATAGAATGTGTGTTTCATGTGAAGTGACTGTGTTGTGGTCGCCAGTATGTTTCATTCTGATATTCTGAAAGCCATACTTTGATTTGTTAAGGAATGATTAAATGAGCTATGACTGTAAAGATATTTACTGTTTAACAGTCACTCTGATTACTTTAACCTTGGTTATAAGCAATGTATTCTTTAGTTCTTGAGTCTTCAGATGCCCTCTGGTAAATATGATTCAGAATTAATTAATAGGACTATTCAATCTTTTTAGTTGTCACAGTGGCACTTGGAAGAAATATGCTCATAATCTTTGCCTAGGGGGTTTCCAGAGTTGGTCTGAGTTGGGGTGGCTGCGCTGCTTGACAGTGACGACGTTTTCTCGGTAACTTGAGAGGGGGGATGGGCAGGCCGTGCGCGCCCCTGCGCTGTGGGCGGTGTGCGTTTAATTAAAAAGTAGGGCGGGTCTGCTTCTCCCATTCCTTAGCGCTGAGCTCCCGACCCAAACCATTCAATATGTTTTCCCTCTATACCTGAGCTTGTAGCTAGATTTCATTCCACTGTTTAAACCAGTGAAGTGGTTTCTGTCCTCAGCTTAGGTGTAGGCGATAACAGGCTCTTCTTTGCGGATGAATACATTTGAATCATTTCAGTAAATTTTTCAGAAATAAAATTGGAGAAAGACAGTTTGAGAATTTTAATTTTCTTTTAGCTGCCAGTAGAAAAATATGTATGTGAACCTCTTAAAACATTTTAACATTACAGCTAATCAAAAATTCAATAAAATGAAGTGTTTTTGTGTGTGAGATATGCCTGTGGAGCAGATAAGACCATGTCTGTTATACTATGTTTCTAGTAACCAAACTTTTTCCTTCTTTTTTCTTAGGTTCTTGATTATTACAGACCATTTTCTGAAAAGCCCGGAATTGGTCAAAGCCATGTACGCCAAAATGAGCAATCAAGAAAGGTAACCCCCAAAACCAGTGTGGTTTTGAGGATTTAGCGTTCCATATAGAGTATCCTGTACACATGACTGAAAAACTGTGTGGTTTCTCAGTTGGCACAAAATCTCTAAATACATGTTTCTGTGTCAGTAATGGTTTTAAATTGGCTGGTTAACATTACAGCTTAGCCACAACAGGCAGTGATTAACGTGGGGCTGAGAATCCAGGTTGGCGCCATTGTTCAGTAAAGGCGTATTAAAAACGTCAGGAACAGAATGTCATGCCTGTGCCGTGATTTTATAACAGGAATTCACGTGGCTCTGTGTTACCACTGTGTGTTTGACAAGTGCTCATTTGCTCACCTCCCTGGTGCCATAGTTTAGGATCTACTCTACCAGGTTTGTAGCTTCCAGCAGGTCACTCAGAGCAACGGGAAGCCAGTGCCTGGCTGCGCCCTGTGTCCCCGCTGCTGTAGCAGGCGAAGTGGCGAGTATCCGCCAGAGCAGGGTCGGGGCTCCCTGCCATGGTCAGAAATTCTGTATGGGACTAGGGCCAAGTCTTTTACTGGGTTTGCCTTCGGTTTCTTGACCTATGAAATCAGAGGATTGAAAAAAATCGTTCACAGTTCTCTTTCAATTCCGACAGGATGTGTTTTTCCAAACCCTGTTGGAAATGTTGTCTTAGGAAAATAAAACTCAGAAACCTGATGATCAAACAACTGATAGAATTATCAAAAACTTCAAACAGTGTTAATCTCTGAATGGTAGGCACAGCCTCCGCAATCGCCGCGGCTCTGAAACCTGTCCCGTGTGCTTGGGCTCGGCCGGTTCAGCGCCACGCGCACCTCTGGCCACGTGCTCAGTAGCGGGTTTTCTTTTCCATTATCTTTGCTGAAGAAGAAAAGTTGGTCCCTTTAAAGTCAGTTTAAATGTGATGTTTATAAATCCATGCCCCCTGCCACCTCCACCTGTGCATACTTTTATTCCTGAAAAAGAATTACTTGTAGTTTTTTGGTCTAAAATAAGTAACGTGATGAGCAGTGCTATACATTAGTCATTGCTTCGTAGTAAGGAACATGCGATACAAGGGGACACAGTACAATTACTTTAATATTCAAGCTTGTCTTTTCCACACTCTCTTGAGTGATCTGTTTTTAAACTGATTCATTATCTAACCAGATGAGGATGACAGACTCAGCATTGTTCATTTTTATTTATAGTAGTTGTAGCCGCTGCCTCCCTACATGTCAGTGTTTTGCTCGTGTCCTCTCCTCCTCCTCCTTTATTTTCCTTCCCAAGGAGAAGTGCCATCATCTCGTCACATAATTGATTACAAGTCGGACTGTGTCACAGACCTGCTTGCAGGGGGTGACACTGCTGTGAGGTGGCTAGCTCTGGGGGGCCCGCGTGTCCCAGGCTGTGCTTGGCACCGGGCAGGTGCAGGACAGCGCTTTTTGACTGAAAGCCTGGTCAGCGAATGGGTTGTCTGACTCAGGAAAACTTTGCTGAGTTGGTGGATTGACGCACCATCACCTGCTAGGTCGGAAACCTCCGCCCTGTCCTCGGCGCTGCCACCCCCACTCTCCAGGTCACACGGCCAGTAAGCCGGCGGGGTCCCCGCTCGGCGTCTGCGGGCTCCCTCTCAGTGGCACGGCTCCGGGTCACCCTGAGGTCGTCCCTGACTGGGCTGTAAAGGACACGTGACATAAAATTTACCACCTTAACCATTGTTAAGTGTACGGTTCAGTAGGATCAAGTATATCCACATTGTTGGAGAACCCATTTCCAGAACTTTCTCGGCTCGCAACACTGAAAGTGTACTCAGTAAACAACTCCCCTTCCCCTCACCCTTGGCAACCGCCATTCTCCTGTCTGTCTCTGAATGTGACTGTGTCCCATACGAGTGGAACCACGCAGAATCTGGCCATCGGTGACTGGCTGTCTTATTCCCCTGAGTGCGCCATCCTTGGGGTGCAGCCGCGCCATGCAGGTGTCGGAGCGCCTTCCTCCATGAGGCCGAGGAGCGCTCCCCTGTGCGAGGCCTCTCAGTGTGCCTGCCAGTCATCGGGCAGCGGGCTGCTGCCACCTTTCAGCTGCCGTGACTGGCGCTGCTGGAAACACAGGTGTGCGTGAGAAGCCTGGCTGCTTTATCTCAGTTTTCCTCTTCTCCTCTGTCACCTGCTGTCCTGCTGGCACGGAGCTGCCCTGCTGTTTCTGCGTGTGCATGGCCCGCTGCAGGCGCAGCTGAACTCCGAGCGCCGGAACCGAGGCCCTCCGTGACGCCTCGTCCCGGCGCCACCAGCCACCGCACTGCAGCCGCACGCAGCTCCTCACCGTCCTCGGCCTCCCCGCCGGTTCCTGCTTTCACGCGAGTGTTTTCTGTCCCCGGAGCCCCTGGAGGCCGCCTCTCCTCCGTGGAGACGCGCATGCCCCGCAGGCCCTGGTCAGGCGCCACCTGCCTCCTGTTGGCTTTCCTGACTTTCCCAGACAAGGGTCTTTGCATCCTCATTGCAGGTTTATCATTAATTATTGCTTTTCTGCTACTGTACGTACGCTTTGAGGACACAGACAGCATCCTGTGACTTCTCTGTCCTAATGCCCACCAGAGTCAGTGCCGGAATAGAAGGATAGTCAGCTAATGCCAGACACTTGACGAAACACATCTTCGGGGTGGCGTCTCTGTGACACTTCAGCAGCAGCTGGCCGGGTCGGTGGGAGTGGGTGGCTTGCCGCAGCGGGCCTGGCTCTGCTCAGTGGGACTCCGGTGCGGCGCCCCATGGGCACCGGCGAGTGAAGACACTTGTCCCTGCTTGGTGGCAGAGTTGAGCCTGTGGATGGCCACTGCTACTTACATGTGACCATCAACTTGGCCACACTTAGCTCTGCTTCGTAGTTTCCTTTGCATTCTCAGGGACAGGTATCGGATAGCGGCATGGAAGTTGGTGGGCGGCCGCCCCCTGGAAAGGGGCCTGGAAAGAGTGGCCGGGCGAGGGCGGCGCTGTAGGTGGTGGAAGGTGGTCTCCCGGGACTGCCCTCCCTCCTGGCTCCCGTCACAGGCGACTGCTGAGCTGGGCTGCCGCCCGCCTTCCCGAGGGTTGGTCCAGTGCTCGGCCGCAGCTGTCGTCTTAGAGTCGCTGCACGAGAGCACAGGCCTCCAGGGTGGGTGCAGATGGGCCTGCCGACTGGGGACAAAACGTTAGAACCTAGAGTTCCTTGTTCCCTACAGAAGGAAGAGAGCACTAAGCTTTCTTAATATTTGAGATCTGGTTTGACAGTTGTAGGTTATCTGTGAGTTACATATATTGGAGGTGTGTGAAAAATTTTTAATTATTCTGCAAAGCTTGGAGAACACCAAACTAGCATGGCCCTGCTCGATGATTTGTTCCTGTGGCGTTTCATTCTTTATTTTTCATTGAACTTATATATTCAGGAAGTTCCTGTGGTGTGCAGAATGCCGGGAACTCCAAAGCTGCCGGCACACGAGTACTCAAGAGGGGGACTTGCTTTTGGTTGCATTGTTCTGTCACAGAGGTGATAGTTGCCATTCTGGAGGAACCGTCAGTCAAACACAGTTCCAGTCCCTGACCTTTTGGGGGGCAGCAGACATATGCCCTGGGACAATGGAAGGCCAGAGCCCCGGGGACGGGCCCAGGGCTGTTCCTGGACAGGGGCAGGCGGAGGGACTGCCTTGCTGGGGCATCAGATCCTGAGTTACAACCCTTCCAGGCGCAGTGAGGTATTACGGTTGTATTCTAGGATAAGACCTTGCTCTTTTCCTTCTTTTTTTAAAAAAAGATTTTATTTATTTATTTTTAGATAGAAGGGAAGGGAAAGGAGGGAGAGAAATATCGATGCCAGAGAGGAACAGGGATCGGCTGCCTCTCAGATGCGCTCTGACCGGGGACCAAACCTGCAGCCCAGGCCTGTGCCCTGACTGCGAACCAAACCCATGACCTTCTGCTTTGCAGAATGATGCCCAGCTCCCTGAGCCACGCTGGTCAGGGCGACCTTGCTCTTTTCAAAATGCTTATTTTATACGAGAATATGTGTAAGTCAGAGATCTGACATTTAACTGACCATATCCTAGATCTAAGAAAATGTCAGTGAAGAACCAGCTTCGCCTTTCTCTCCTGCGTTTGGTGCATCTGCAGCTGCTTCTCTGATGAGCTTGTACACGGCTCATGAGGAGAGTCTGTGGGGTCTGAAGCAGCACAGATTTTAACTCAGCCCACAGGCTGGCCTCTGAAGGCTGGCACCGTTGTTGTCCTTGCCCGGCAGGCAAGCACCCCGAGGCCGAGAGGCGAAACTGCTCGTTCTGGCTCTCACCGGAGTGGGCGCCTGATGCCTATCAGGAGCTAGTTCAGGCAGCCTGGCTCGGGCATCTTGTCTTGAAAGCCACTGCACCCGTCACCTGCTAAAGGCCACTAAGGTAGGATAACATTTGTGTTACGTGTAAAAAACTTAAAACACCAACAATACGCTGTGTGAGGACACGTAAGTCTAATAGCTTTAGGGAAAGAGAGAATCCTTTTCTCATTGGGTGGTTTCTTCCTCCCGAATGTCGGTGTACTTCTCTTTTTTCGAGGTCATGATCGGTCAGCAGATGTGAGTTCAGGGAATGACCGGAGGCGGCATGACGGCCTAAGCCTCGGTTTCGTTGGGGGGTGGGTTTTACTGGAGGTGGGTCTTGTGGTTCATATTAAACGTGGTTATATGGCCTCAGCCAGATTTTCTAGCTGCAGCAAACTTTGTTTTCAGGAAACAGCAACCAAAAATATTCTGGCTCGAGATTTGTACTCCTGTTTCCCGTGCCCTCTAAATTGCACGTATACACACATGGAAGCAATTTAATTATGCCAGCAAATTTTGTGACATATTTGACCACTTAGGATTAAAGGAAACGGGCCCGGATGCAGAAAGACAGGGCGCTTCACACAGACGAAAGCCAGGGCTGTGAACGCTTTTTACCCCCTGTGGTTCGCGGTCCCGCAGTGTTTCTTTGATTTGCTTCATTTCCGTAACTT